GCCTATTATAGACCACAACAAATTAACATTCATTTGGATAAACAACTTATTATTTTACAATTTTTCATCCGAAGACCTCGTCGTGGCGGTGGACGACGAGGGTTCTGCCTGTCCAACCCCCCCACCCCCACCTCCTCCGCCTCAGCCCCACTGGCGCAACCACCGGAGTTACTCGGTAATTGCACTTTTAATGAACGAACTTGGCTCAGGATGCCAATGACAGTTCAGTTGACTATGATTTATGACATCAGCAAAAAAAAAAAACAAAACAAAACAAAAAAACAAAAAAAAAAAAAACAAAAAAAAAAACACCACCTTAAATCAAAATATTTACCAATACACCCAAGAATTTCAAATCGCATTGTTATACTCTCGCTCCAATTCGTCGGCTGAATCGCTATGAATCTGGCTGTAATCGGGTCGAACGTGTTCATAACTGGACTATTGTTGTCTGTGTTACCAGGAAGTATCTTCAAAAACAGCAACAAATGAAAGTAATTAGGCTAAAGTCTCGAATAATTATTTATGAGTTGACACAGGAATAAAATAGGAATCCGTTATTTATACTGCCAAGTACGGTGAATAGAGAGTTTTCGCAAGCTTATCAAAACGACAACGAATACGGTTACGTCACCAACTTTTTTGCATACAGGACACACTTCTTTTTATAAGAACACATTTATAAGAACACTGAGGCTGAAATTGCTTAAAAAAATAAGAAAAAAATAAGAACAAATTGAGGCTGAGGTAACGTTTCAGATGATTTTTTAATGGAAAACTAACCCATCTCATCTGTATCTTATGTGCAATAGGTGTGACTATGCAATACGTACCCTCTATAATGCAGTAATGCAGTATCTATCTTTCAACAGTGTGTAAATTAAGAACAAAATAATTTTGAATCAGAAATCGGCAAAAATATAAGAACACTGAGCCTGGGCAAAAAAGTACTGGTTCTTATTTAACAAAAACAGTGTATAATGTCATAGCGTAGGCGATTCATGTCTTTTGCATGGATCAAGGATCATCTGCAGCTCGTCAAGAATGTTTGAGGCTCGAATGACGATAATAATAATGACGTATAATTCGTTAGCGTTTTCGTAAGGTTGTGAAATCTTCCTAAAAATTCAGAGATTAAGAATCACAAGTGTTACAGTATTACGACCATGGACGCACTGCAGGTTTTTATTAATGATAATATCAGCAATATATTTATTTCCAAAAAAAAAAAAACAAAAAACAAAAACAAAAACAAAAACAAAAAAAAATTAAAAAATAACAAATCACAATAGTATACAACCACACAAGCATTAGGCCAATCATTTTAGCTTAAACATATTTCATTACACCATTGTACTAAGTTTTAAAATTCATTCTTGCAAAAGGAGTAAACAAATCCTTAAGTATACATATAGGCATCATATTTAACAATTATTATTGAATATTTGGGTCGAGAACATGGAGCAGAAAGGTAACCCAGTCTACATCTTCAGTTTGCAACGTCAGGGTAGTATAGTGTGAAAGGGTGCCTTGAATGTGCTATATATATATATATATATGACCATTGACCACTGACCACTGCTCAAAACATTCTTTATCCAAAATAGTCATTTTTTTTAAATGGAGATATAAAGAAATTAATTTTTCCGACATCAATGGACGTAGGTACACCCCAATGGGTGTCACTCGGTCGGCGTAATAATTTCAATCTATTGCATTTGGATATACGTGTAGATATACAACCGGACCTCTTTTCTCGTTGCGGATTGAAATTACCTCGCTCCGTGCACCGATAACTCCTTAGAAATTCTTTTTTCTTTTAAGCGTAATAATTTCAATCTATTGCATTTCCTCGTGTGGATATACAACCGGACCCCTTTTCCCGTTGCGGATTGAAATTATCTCGATCCGTGCACCGATAACTCCTTGGAAATTCTTTTTCCCGCCTGCCACCCCTTCCTCCTCCAATACACTAGGACGCTGCGGCACCATGCCGCTTGGCTTGTTGGCCATTTTTTAAGAATTTTTACTATGAAATTAATTTAGGGAAAGATCGTGCACCACGGTCCCTTTGCCTTTTGTCGTAATAAATCACGACCGAATCACACTATATCAGATCATGTGTTACTTTATTGTGTACAGTATTGAGGTTGGTGTTCAAGAGTGGGC